GCGGGCGCCTTCCTCCCCAGGCCCCCGACGGCTCTGGGAAGGCCCAGCCCCTCCGTTCCCATCCCCACTCTGTTTATTTCTTATGAATTCAGTTATGTAAATAGAGGTGGCCCAGCCCAGGGAGAACCCCCGCCCCATCTGTCCCCTCTCGAGCCACCCAGCGCCTGCCCGGCTGCTGGGCCTGTGCCCGGCCAGAGACTCCCGGGAATAAGGGCCCGGGAGGCCGGGCATCTCTGAGGGTCACACGGGAGGGGGCACCCCACCTCTGACATCACAGCCGCCTGGGGGTGTCCAGGCCTGTGTCTTAGGGAGGGGGCGGAGAGAGGAGGGGCCGAGGGAGGAAGGCAGGTCTGGGCACAGGCGGAGGCCCTCCCTGCCCGCCCCTGCGTTTGCACAGGCCCTTCTGCGGGCGAGCCGCTCTGACCTTTGCTCTCTGACCTTTGCAGCTGACCTCTGCCTTCTGGCCAGCACCTGAACTGAAACAGAAAGGCCGCCCTGGGGGCAGGGCTCCGGTGCACTGGTAAGAAGGGGGGTCTGGCGGGCACCCCCAGAGCGCCCCTCACCTGGGCTCCAGGCCTGGCTGGCACAGGTGGGCTAAGGCCCCTGCCAGCATCTGTGGGGCCGGGCGGCGCGTGCTCTGTTCTGGGGGCTGGAGGCCGGCCCCGGGGGAGACCATGGCTTCCAGTGCCCCCAAAACTGAAGTCGAGAAGGGCCCGGGGACCCTGGGGACCAAGGACGGGGGGACGCCCAGGTGACCGGAGGCGGTTGACAGAGAGGCCAGGGGATCCCAGGAAACAGGCGGCCTGGGCTGAGCGGGGTGTCCCCCAGGGGATCAGGGGTGCAGGGGGGGGTGCAGCCAGGGGGCACGAGCAGCCCGGGTGGGGTCTGGGCATTGGGGGCACCTGGGGAGCAGGTAGACAGTGAGGGCAGTGGAGGGAGGGGCCCCTGGAAGCCACGGCAGTGGGAGAACTTTCTAGAAGGAGCAGCCACGGCCCGTCCTGAATGCTGACAGCCCAGGAAAGATGGGGCCCCACAGTGTGTGTGTGTGGGGGGGGCCCTAAGATGATGGCGCTGGGGCCTCGGGGAGGAGAGGGGGTGCCCGAGGGTCTGCAGGCACAAGGCTGGGGGTGCAGCTGTAGGGCCCCAAGTGTGCGGGGG